GTGTGAGTCTGACCAGAGCCCACCCATCCCAGTTCACACTTGAGGCACACACAGCGTGGTGCCCTGCGGTTCCCACAGCCCGCCTAGGCAGAGCCTGTACCTGTACCAGCACTGGGGCTCCCAGACACAGACCGGCTGTGGTCCCTGCCCACATCCCCACCACAGACCTGCCCTTCCTGGAGGGGGTGTTGTACTGATCCAGCCAGCTCTGCTGCCTGCCCCAAATGTTTGGTCACTCAGCCCCACAAAGTGCCTCTGAATCCCCCAAGGGTGTGACTGAGGCTGTCCTTAGCACAGAGCTCTGAGCTACAGTGGGAGTGGGGCACAAGGAGTTGTGGGATTCCTGCTTTGCAAGGTCTGTGCCCTGTAGGACCCTCGGAGGCAGAGCCCCTGCCCTCCTCCAACCCTTCCTGGGTGGCTTCTACTGCCCAGAGCAATGGCCTCTCACCAGAACAAATGTGCCCAGGTCACCAATGGCCACGACAGCCCTCACTGAGCCTTCTGTGGGAACACCCAGAAGAGCCACACACAGAGGACAGGCTTTGCTGGGCTTGCCCAGGAGCGTCTCCTGTCTGTCTCTGACTCCTGTCTCTGATTCTGGGGTCTGCAGGGCTGTCCTGGGGTCTGGGACCCAGCCTCAGCCCGGATCCAGGAACTCTGGGCTGTCAGCTGCCATCCTAGCTCCCAGCCAGTCCTTACCTGCTCCTCAGTCCCCACCCCAACACCTGCTCCCCAACGGGAGTCCTTATAGAATCCCCTTCTTCAGTTATATCTGCTGTCCCCAGTCCGTCCCCAGTCCGTCTGCTTGGTCCTGAGCAAGAGTGACCTGGAGGACATCCAAGGACAAGCCTGGAAGAGGGAGAGAAAGGCCCAGAGTGTGTGTTCAGGGGTCCTGCCCACAGGGGGCCCACAGGAGCCAGGCTGTGTCTTTACTGTGACCTCCCTCCCCAGCCAGGTCTCTGCAAAGATGTCCACTCTGAGATAGTAACTGGATGCAGGGACACTGGGGTGTGCTGGGTGGAGGGGGCTTGGCTGGGATCTGGACGGTAGGGGTGTAAGGAGCAGTGTGAGGGACCAGTTGCTCTAACTGGGAGCCCAGTCTTCATTCTCAACAGAAACTCACTGGCCTCACTGGCAGCCGGGAGCGCTGGGAGCCCATCACTGACGGTCTACAAACCAGAAATGTTAGACTACACACAACGATTTTACATCTGTAAACCATTTCGTCTGACGACAAAGATGGCCTCAGACCCAAATGTTTACAGCAAATTGGGGCAAAAATGTTATCTAAAGTTAAACTCTCAGTAGCAAATTGTACAAGCCGTAGAGTGGGCAGGGCCGCCAAAGAGGAGAGACAAGAGGGTGGGTGGGGCCCCCACCAGCACAGAGGGAAGCCAGGACCCTCCCTGGCCAAGGGTGGACAGGGGGAGCCGCTGCCTGGACTTCTGCCTCCCACGAGCCAGCCCAGGGTGGCTCAGATGTGAGTGGGAACTACTTGCCTCCAGTCCCTGGACCCAGGAACATTCATAAGTGCCACAACGTGGCACAGCAGGGTGAGTTCCCTGGGACTGCCGTGCCACCTGCCAGTGCCCCACCCTGCACACCCACATTCCTCTGTGCCCTGAAGCCTGTCTCTCTCAGGACAGCAAAAATCCAGTGACAGCTGGCCCCTTCCTGGTCCTCTTGAGGTCAGGTCAGGACAGTGTGAAAGGCATCCACAGAACCCCGGGAAGACTCTAGGCTCATATCAGTGCTGCAGTCCTCAGAGTGATGGGGGTAAGAGTGTGCACCATCCCTCGGCCAACTGCAGGGAAGAAGAAAGCAGACTGTGCCCCTTTCTGCGGACCGACAGCTGCTCCCCCATTTTGGCCTCGGCAACACTGAGTGAAGATGAAAGACCCCACATCCCCCTGGAGTTTCCGCCAGAGCCCAGGAAAGGTCCCCAGGGACAGGAAGGAGCTGGTTCCCCTTGTGGGCAGCAGGGATGGGTGCAGGGAGAATGGCCGCCTTCACAGGTGCAGGCGTTGACTGAGATTCACCCTGGTCCCCTGTAAGAGGGGAGGAGGCAGGTGCCCAGCAGGGGTTCAGACTATTGAGAGGCAGACCAGAGCAGAGGGACCCTGGGCAGGTGCTGGGATACACAGCCCAGGTCACCCTGGGACCAGAATGGAGGCCCCGCTGGGGTCTGGAGTCCTTGCTGCCCTGTACCGAGGTCCCTGCTTTGCTACCACTATGGGGCCCCGACCCCCTACAACCCAGAGGATCACAAGCTGCCAGTTCCCAGCCCAGCTCTCAGCAGTGTCATGGGGCTGTGTCCAGTCCCCTCCCCAGGACCCATAGGGCTCCCAGGTCATGGGCAAAGCTGTGAGTTGAGGCCCAGGGAACAGGGGCCTGGGCCCTGGGGAGGTTGGGTTCTGGAGGACAGGGAAGGTCTCCCTGGGACCTGCCCTGTGACATGACTAACAGTGGGGTTCTTTCACCAGGGTCAGGCCCTCTGGCCTCCCTTACGCTGGCCCCTTTGCCCAGAATGACCGCACATTTTTTATCTCTTGCTTCTAATGAGTGGAGTCAGGGCTGCTATGAAACCCAGACACACAAGCAAAGGGCAGCTTTGCCAACCAGGTCCCTCCTGTGCCAGCCCCTGCGTGGGAAACACCAAAGCCCTCTGCTCAGGGTGGGACTGAGGTGCGCCTCGAAGTGCCCTGGGGCAGCTGGAGGAGGTTTCTTTCTGTCAAGACTCTGTCACTATGTGTGTGTATGTGTGCATGTGTGTTGTATATGTTGTGTGTGTATGTGTGAGCATGTGTGTATGTGTGTGTTGTGTGTTTGTGCATATGTTTTGTGCTGTGTGTTGTGTGTGCATGTGTTGTGTGTGTTGTGTGTGGTGTATGTGCATGTGTTGTGTGTGTGCATGTGTGTTGTGTGTGTTGTATGTGTGCATGTGTGTTGTGCTGTGTGTTGTGTGTGCATGTGTTGTGTGTGTTGTGTGTGTGCATGTGTGTTGTGTGTGTATGTGTGGTGTGTGTGTGCATGTGTGTTGTGCTGTGTGTTGTGTGTGCATGTGTTGTGTGTGTGTGCATGTGTGTTGTGTATGTTGTGTGTGTATGTGTGAGCATGTGTGTATGTGTGTTGTGTGTGCATGTGTTGTGTGTGCGCATGTGTGTTGTGTGTGCATGTGTGTTGTGTGTGGTGTATGTGCATGTGTTGTGTGTGTGCATGTGTGTTGTGTGTGTATGTGTTGTGTGTGTTGTGTGTGTGCATGTGTTGTGCGTGTTGTGTGGTGTATGTGCATGTGTTGTGTGTGTGCATGTGTGGTGTGTGTGCATGTGTGGTGTGTGTGCATGTGTTGTGTGTGGTGTCTGTGCATGTGTTGTGTGTGTGTTGTGTGTGGTGTGTGTGCATGTGTTGTGTGTGGTGTCTGTGCATGTGTTGTGTGTGTGTTGTGTGTGGTGTGTGTGCATGTGTTGTATGTGGTGTGTGTGCATGTGTTGTGTGTGTGTTGTGTGTGGTGTGTGTGCATGTGTTGTGTGTGGTGTGTGTGCATGTGTTGTGTGTGGTGTGTGTGCATGTGTTGTATGTGGTGTCTGTGCATGTGTTGTGTGTGTGTTGTGTGTGGTGTGTGTGCATGTGTTGTGTGTGTGTTGTGTGTGTGTGTCTAGGCCAGAGAAGCAGTGAGTCATTTCTGCCCAGGAGCAGCTGCCTGTGAGGCCGGTTCTTGGTCATTTTTGTGGCTTCTGAGGACTTTCCAGAAATTGTGAGGTGGGAGCCGCCTGCTGTAATCAAGCACAGAAGTCACATGTCCCAGAGTTGGGAACCAGCACAGAAGGCCTGGGACAGACCCTGAAGTGAAGTCACAACCTTGACACCTGCCGCCCTGACCCTGGGCTCCCTCACTGCCTCCGGAGCCTCCTGTCCCCAGGGCTCAGCTCCCCTCCCCTCCATAGCTGGGCTCTGCCTCCCGGGCTGCTCCCCGGACCCCAGCCTGGACACCTGCACCCTCCCTGAGCTCCTTCCCCTGCCTGGCCCTGTCCTGCGCTCAGCCATGGCCTCCCCTGGGCTCCCTCTCTAGAGGGGTGGAATCAGGAAGGGGTGGGCACAGGGCTGCTCCCGATGGCCCCTGACTGCACATGTGGGTCCCTTTTCTACAGGGAAACAGGCTGCTGTCCTCTTCCTGTGGGGCCTGTCCCTTCCAATCAGCTCACAGGCAGTGAGTGAGGGTGGGGTCTGCATTTAGGTTCCTCTCCTGTGAGGTTTAGCTGAGTTTTCTGGCCCTAGAGGGAAGTAGTGTGACCCTTGCCCCACTGCAGGTCCACTACGAAAGGAAAGACAGCTACCCATTTGCTGGTGTTGATGTAAACACTTGCAATTCGTGATACAATTGCTGAGCCAAAGCAGTTACGGAAGATTCTTCATGTTTTATTACTGTAGATATGAAGCCAATTAATCATTTCATTGATAACTTGAATTAATTAATTAAAAACTATTCTAAGAATATTGAGCATAATTGTACTATTATATGTTTGGAACACAGAGACATTTTCAATTAATTTTTTTTTTCAAGACAGTCTAGATCTGTTGCTAGCTGGAGTGAGCAATCTCGGCTCCCTGCAACCTCTGCCTCCCAGGTTCCAGCAATTCTGCTGTGCCAGCCTCCCGAATAGCTGGGATTACAGGCAGGCACCACCAGGCCCAGTTAATTTTTGTGTTTTTAGTATTGACGAGATTTCACCATGTTGGCCAGGATGGTCTCCATCTCCTGACCTTGTGATCCTCCCGAAGTGCTGGGATTAACTGGTGTGGGCCATGGAGCCCCGCCTCAATTAAAACTAATTCACTCTGATTTTTTAAAGAATCTACTTGTCAGGAGCGCATTGCTTTGCTGGCGTCTGTGATCAGCTGGAGATGGCAGTGAATAGACCATTTGTATTTCTTGGAAGAAGATCTTTTATTCCGCTGCTCAGCCCAGGTCTCTGCCTTCCTTAGAGACTGAGGATCATCCATCAGTTTCCCTGATTCAGGAAGAGCAGGGGAGTTGAATGGGGCAGGGGGTGAGAGAGTGGAAAGAGGGCACAGGAGGAGGCCTGGGGACAGGGACAATGACGGGAGAGGAGAGGGGGATGGAGGAGGTGGGGGAGAGAGGGAGGCTGTGAGGAGGCAAGGGAGAGACAGAGTTGGGTGCCCTGGGGGGAGCAGGGAACCCAGAGGAGGCTCTGAGCAGAGCGGAAGGCAAAGCCCAAGGGGAGAGGGGAGGTGGGGAGGCCCATGGGGCACTGGGCAGAGGGAGGAAGCCCTCACCTGGAGAATGGCCTGCAGCCTCCCACTCAGGGCTTGGCTGTGCTCATCTAGGCCCTCCCAGGGCTGGAAGGGGTGTCCCTGGTGATCCACAAAGGTGTCCCAGCAGTGCCTAAACTCTGAAAAGGGACAGAGGAGATAAGTCACACTCCTGCTGTTGGGAAGGGGAGGCACCGAGGTCCCTGACTCTCAGGACAGACCTCCCACATGCTGGTTTCAGTTCCTCCTTTCCCTCCGCCTCCCCCAGGGACTTCCCTCCTTCATCAGGGACTTCCTTCCCATTGGAATCTGGGACACCCCAAGTCCTTCCTCCACTTCCAGCCACCTTCCCCACCCTTCCCAGGCCCCCATCTCCTGGCCGGGCCTCTCTCTTCCCGTAGACCCCAAAGTCAGGCACAGAGTGCAGCCCTCACCTCTGCAAGCAACAGCCCAAGGCCTTTCTCCTATTCTCATGAACCTCTCCTGCCCCCACCCACCCCACTGGAACCTTCCCTTCTCACCCTCAGAGGTCATGATGGAGACTTGGGCCCCAGCATTCTTCAGCATTTGCAGCCCCTCCTCATATCGTGGGAGATAATCATAGATGCGGGCAGCGAAGATGCGCAGGTTCACGTGCGGGTTCTCTTGAAGGAATTCAGCCACCTCCTGGGCACAGCTGAAGCAGGGGCTCCAGGAGATGAAGCAGGTGACCCTGTAGGTCTGGGCCGGGTCCAGCTGCCAAGAAGGAATCCGGTCCAGGAAACACCTCTCTGCATGGCGGCCTTCAGAGCCACTGAGATGATTCTTAGCCTAGAAAAGGAAACCAAGTGTGAGGTCATACGTTGTGAACAGGGAGGGAGGGCCTGGACCACGTACGGCTGGGGAGGCAGGGGCCTCCAGGACAAAATTAGAGGGGTCATCAAAACCCGTTATTAGGATGAATGATTTTCTGTGCAATATTCAAAGTATCAAATGTTATGCAAAGGTCCCAAGATAAGCAAAATATTGTCTATTTAAATACAAACAAATCGAGCCAGGGTGTGGTAGCTCATGCCCACATGCCTATAATCCCAGCACTTTGGGAGGCTTAGACAGGTGGCTCACCTGAGGTCAGGAGTTTGAGACCAGCCTGGCCTACATAGTGAAACTCCATCTCTACTAAAAATACAAAAATTAGCCGGGCATGGTGGCGCATGCTTGTAATCCCAGCTACTCGGGAGGCTGAGGCAGGAGAATCGCTTGAACCTGGGAGGTGGAGGTTGCGGTGAGCCGAGATCTCACCCTTGCACTCCCGCCTGGGCAACAAGAGCAAAACTCCATCTCAAAAAATAAATAAAATAAATAACCCAGATCAGGAGCAATGATGTTTTAATTCGCCCCAGCTCCGATATACACAGGACAGCACTCTCCTGTCTCTATTTAAAATCTTCGTTTTTATTCACCTTAGTATCCCATGACCCAGGTACCTTCCCACTTTGGAGAAGTACATTAAATTTGCTTTTAAAAATACTGCATTGGGCCGGGTGCGGTGGCTCACGCCTGTAATCCCAGCACTTTGGGAGGCCGAGGCAGGTGGATCACGAGGTCAAGAGATCGAGACCATCCTGGTCAACATGGTGAAACCCTGTCTCTACTAAAAATACAAAAAATCAGCTGGGCATGGTGGCGCGTGACTGTAATCCCAGCTACTCGGGAGGCTGAGGCAGGAGAATTGCCTGAACCCAGGAGGCGGAGGTTTCGGTGAGCCAAGATCGCGCCATTGCACTCCAGCCTGGGTAACAAGAGCGAAACTCTGTCTCAAAAAAAAAAAAATACTGCATTAATTATTAAATTAAAATGTGTTTTCTCTAATTACTGAGCATTTGAAGCCCCCTTCAATGTCATACCCAAGGTCAGAGCTTTCAACACCCTCACTCCAGGCCCAGTCCTGCAGGGGGTAGCTATAGAGATGGGAATGGGGAGGAGGGGCCAGCTGAGCCCCAGGATCCTTGGCCTGATGCCCCTGAGTGAGTGTGGTTCCTTCAAGGGGAGATGGACCAGCTCTACTCATCAACTCCCCTACCTCCATCCCATCTGCGGCCCATAAATCTAGAAGCTTCTATTCTGTGCCACAACATGTGCTGAGCCCAAATGTGATATAGACTTAGGCCAAAGGGGATTCCACAAAAGTTGTGGGGAAGACCAGCAGGACTTACTCCAAAGTGGGAAGGTCCCTGAGTCATGGGAGAATTGTCATTGTCGTGACTTAGAGAAATATGGTATTTGCTCCAAACTTCAGAGAAAAGGACTTTCCACTAAGACTAGAAACTTGTCAAGCTGGGGACAGCGGGGCAGCAAGGACTGTGATTGTGTTGGGGACAAGGACAGGGAAGGACACAAGGTGGAGTGGATGACATGCTTTGTGCTGAGAAGGGGCTGGGGGACATTCCTGGAGGAGTCCCATTGATTAGGCAGTTATGGGGACTGGAGCCCTGGAACGGACATTCCAGGCTGGGCACGGTGGCTCATGCCTGTTATCCCAGCACTTTGGGAGACCAAGTCAGGTGGATCATAAGGTTGGGAGTTCAAGAGCAGCCTGGCCAACATTGTGAAACCCTGTCTCTACTAAAAATACAAAAATTAGCGGTGTATGGTGGTGTGCACCTATAGTCCCAGCCACTTGGGAGGCTGAGGCAGGAGTATCACTTGAACCCAGGAGGTGGAGATGGCAGTGAGCTGAGATCGTGCCTCTGCATCCAGCCTGGGTGATAGAGTGAGACTCTACCTCAAAACAACAACAACAACAAAAACCCAGACATTTCAAGCAGTGTGTGTGAGTCCAGCAAGGCCCACATTTTGCTCACAGAGCCCAGAGTAGCCCCCAGTTTCCAGCACCAGAGCCAAGCAGAACTTGGCCTCTCTAACCAGGGGCTATGCTGGGCAGGGTCCAGGGAAGAGATCTTCCCTGGCTCAGGCTCAGGACCCCTTAGCCTGGCCTGTCCCGGCTCCTCCCCAAATGCTGGCCATCCCTGCATCCTGATGTGGGCCTGTTCTAGCCTTGCTGTGGGCCCCATCCTGGTCAGGACAGAATCCCTGGTCGGCCTCTCCTGCCTCAGTCTCTCTCCCCACAGGATTAAAGCCCAGAAGCAAATACTGGGGAATCTTGGCCTTGTGAGGTCAGGGAGGCCCTGAGTCCTGGAATCCCACCGTTCTGAATCATTCCTGGGGAGAGCTGCGTCTGTGAGGAGGGTATCCTGGGCGGCTCCTCAGGGAGCACCTTGCGATTGGGCAGACTCGACCCCACCTGGCCGTGGAGGGTGACTGAAGCTGAAGTCCCCCCCAACCATGGGGTCTACAGCAGCAGGTGCTGCAGAAAGCACAGGTGACAGACACTCTGCGGGACACCACGTGTACCACCGAGAACCTTCTACTTGTGAAAGTCCTTGGACTGGGAGGGCGCTGCCTAGATGCGAGTGGCTGGGTTGCTCACCTGATTGCATAGAAAGTCCCTCTGCTCATTCACCGAGTCCCTGGTGCCATCGGGACCCTGGCGCTTCACCTCATAGCACAAGTATGTCTGGTGCCGTCCGAAGACCCCAGGGTTATTGGCAAAGTTTCCAGTGAACATACGTGGATCCATCAGGGGTCTGTGGACAAAGGCGGGGGAAACTCAGCTGCTCACTCCTCCCCTGCACCCCCCACTCCTACCTGTGCTCCCCATATACCGAGGCACTTGTCAGAGGAGGGGCTACCACACCCTTTGTGGGGGCCACTGATCCTCTCTCTCTGACCCCTTCTGGGGGATTATCAGGAAGTCAGCACAGCCCTGAACCTGTCTAGGCCTTGTCAGGGTCTCCCAGGGTCAGCTCAGTGTCCTCAGGCCCTCTCCTTGGGGTCTCCTTCCCTGGCCTCACCATGCACCCCTCGCTGCTGGCACTGCTTGTCCTCAGCCCCTGCTGGAAGTGGACCGGCTGGGGCTTCCCTCCTGCCTGCTGGGTTAACACTACCACACCCAGCATCAGGGCAGAGACACTCCTGAGTGGCATCACTGGGGAGAGGAGCCTGCTAGGGACTTCTTTTAGGGTAATTCATAGGATTTTCCGCATCCCTTAAGATGCCCTGAGGTCTCCCAAATGTGCCTCTCAGGTCAGCTGGGGTAGCTCAGGACACCAGCCCCACCTGAAGGCCTTTCCCAGACCCTCTCAATGCATCCCGACATAATCAGAATTAGAGAAATCTCTGTTTGGAGACAGCAGCAAAAGAAAGAAAGAGAGAGAGAGACAAAGGAAGGAAGGATGGAAGGAAGAAGGGAGGGAGGGAGGGAGGGAGGGAGGGAGGGAAAGGAGGGAAGGAAGGAAGGAAGGAAGAAAAGGAGGAGGAGGGGGTGAAGAGGGAAGGGAGGGAGGGAAGAGGTAGGGAGGGAGGAATGGAAAGAAGGAGAAAGAGAGAAAGGAAGGAAGGAAGAAAGGAAGAAAGGAAGGAAGGAGGGAGGGAGGGAAGGAAGGAGGGAGGGAGGGAAGGAAGGAAGGAGGGAGGGAAGGAAGGAACAGAATCTGTTCACTACTGTTTTGAGTAGACCTGGGGACAAATCTGGGCTCTACCCCTCCCTCGCTTTGTGTTCTCAAGGAAAGGAAGCAAGACTTCCTCATAGCAAAGTGGTCCTACAACCAACCCCCTTTTCTTAAAATTAGGGAGAATGAGATGACACTGAACATGAAAAGGGTTTAGGTCCAGAGACAGGGTACATTTGTAAGAAATAGTAGACGCTCATGTGAAGTCAAGCAAGCAGAATCCCCGCTCCGACCATCTTCACTGGCTGGGGCACAGCACCATTATCTAGCGGGGTTTTCAGGCTCCCTGTGCACCTGCCCCAGGAGGTGGAAGGATACCTGGAATTGGTACCATTGGTGGAGAGACCAGCGCTGGGACCAAAACTGGAAACCCAGACCAAAAAGGCCAGGTCCACAGAGAGGGTCAGGAGGAAAACAGAGGCCCCAGGGGTTTGAGGGTGAGAGGTGAGCACTCATCAGAAAAGCTCAAAGAGGAGGCTGAGGCCTCCCATACCTGGGCCTGGATGCTGGGCTGGCCTCCATGTCCTTGTCCCTTCTCAGTTCCTGATTTGTGTCCTCTCGCTCCTGAGACTTGCTCAAGCTGCGGTGTTGAGAGCTTCACCAATGTTCTCTTAGGACTTGGGAGGCTTAATATCGTCAGAGCAACCTGGACGCTGCTTAGTCACTGGTACTCTGCCCCACCCCTGCTCCAACCCAGGCCGCGCATGCCACCCATGTCAGCATCAGAACAAGGAAGTTCTCTGCCATGCCTTCGGGCAAGCTTTGGTTTTGATGTCCCCCCTCTGACAACAGACCCACCCACCGGACACTGTGGAGTGACAATAGGATATAGACCCAGCCACACTTTGCTCCCTTTGAGCTGCAGGAATCTGGAAAGCAGGAGGGCAGGGGACAGGTGGGAGGACGGGCAAGGTCCTCAATAAGACTCAGCATTCCCAGAGAGCAGCCTCCAGGGCAGCCAGCCCTGTCCCCCTCTGCAGCCAGTGCAGGACATGCCTGGTCCAGGCTCCCTGGCACCTGCTGCATCCTGGGCTCTCTGTTAGGTTCCTGTGTCTTCCTCCCTGGCTGCGGATGAGAGACCAGGAAGTTCTGCATGCTCCTATGCATCAGTGTATCTAATAATTGCAAACTAGAGCGAGGGGTGTTTTCACCCCCATTACCCAGAGGAGATAATAAAGGCTCTGAAAGATACCGAGACTTGCCCAGGCCCTCCCAGCGAACAGAGTCCCCAGCAGGGACACACCCCTACTCAGAAGGGCCACCCTGTGCCCTTCCTCCCACCTCCGAGCCATGCAGAAATGTGAGGGACACTGTGCCCCAAGTAAGCCCCTGAGTCCCAGAGGCAGATCTGGCCCTGTTCTCTCCCAGGTCCCCCTGCTGCACCCAGCACAGCTTGAGTGAGGACCAGTTTCACTTTGGCCCAGCACACTTGAGCGGGGGGACCAGTTTCACTCCAGCCCCTGGACCCCGGAACTTCCATAAGGGCCACAACCTGGAACCTCTGGGTGAACTCCCCTCCACAACCTTTCGTGCACTAGGGCCCGACTTTCTCTGGACAGCAATGTCCCAGACACAACTGGCCCCTTCCTGGTCCTCCTGCGGCCAGGACAGGGCAGCGTCTGTAAGGCATCAGGGGAGGCCAGAGGTGGTTGAGAGCATGCACCTTCCCTAGCCCAACTGTGAGGAAGATGGAAGGAGAGTCCACCCTTTCCTGGGGAAGGACAGCCCCTCCTCCATCTCTCTCCCTGGAACGTTGGCTGAACAATCACTCTTAGGTGGAAAATGTGATAAAATCCCAGGTCTTGCTGGAGTTTCCACAGGAGCCTGGGGAAGGTCTGAGGGGAGAGGAAGAAACAGGGTCCCCAAGGGGGACGCAGGAGAATGGCCTCCTTAACAGGTGCAGGCTTCCCTGGGATTTGCCCAGGTCCCTGTAAGGAAAATTGGGAACAGGGCAGGTGCCCCACAGGGGTCCAGACTGGGTGAGAGGGACAGACCAGGGCGGAGGGACCCTGAGGCGGTCCCTGATTGCTGGGCCACTCAGCCTGCATCACCCTGGGACCAGAATGGAGGTGCCATTCAGGTCTGGAGTCCACCATGCTGCTGTGTATGAGGTCCTGGCTCTGCCACACAGTGGGGCCCACCCCGCTACATCCCAGATGGACCACAGGATGCCAGTTCCCCACTCAGGTCTCACTAGTGTCATGGGGCTGCATCCAGTCCCCTCCCCAGGACCCACAGGGCTCCCAGGTCATGGGCAAAGCTCTGAAGTGAGGTCCAGGGAAGCTAGGAGTCTGAGGAGCTCAGGACAGAAAGGGATCCCTGCTCCTGTGTCCCCCCTTCCCCCCACAGGGTGACACGACAAAAGGGACCCTTCCTTGGGATACCCCAGACACACCCAGATGCCCACTTCAACACTGCCCGTGGAGCAGGGTGAGGGGAGTGCTTCCGCATCCACCTGCTCCTCTGGCTTTGATTCTGGGCTCTGATAACAGCCCCGCCCTCCTCATCCTAGAAGCAAGTGACCTCAAAAGCCAGAAGATTGCTCCAGGCAAAGGGGCCAAGTTGGTGGGGGTACATAGGGTGGGGGAGTAGGGAGGTGGAGGGGGTGGCTGCACCTGCCCTTGGACAGGGGACAGTGCTGTTCTCCCAGGGTGAGGCCCTCTGTCTCCGTGTCTCCTGTGCCTCACTGTACAAGCCACGCACCCATGCAGGGCTCCAGAGAGGAGAGAAGAGAGGGTGTTGGGGGATCCCCACCAGCAGAGAGGGAGGCCAGGACCTTCCCTGGCCGAGGGTGGGCAGGGGCAGCCACTGTTTGGGCATCTGCAGCCCAGACATGAGTGCAGTGGCCTCTTTGCCCAGAGTGACTACATTTGGGTCATTTTCCAGTCACTTGCTTCAAGGGGTGGTGCTGGGGCTGTTGTCAGAACCCAGAAATGAAAACTAAAGGATCAGCTTGATGACGTGGTTTCCCCGGCGCTCTGACCCGTACGAATTGCTGAAATCCTCGGACTTGGGGCAGAGCTGAAGCAGGCATCTGGGTGTGTCTGGGGAACTCCGCGGAAGGTTCCTTTCTGTCCTGTCACTGTCTGTGTGTGTCTGTGCCTTGGCCACGAGGAGGGATTGGGCCTGTTTGCTCATGAGCAGCTGTCGGGGAGGCCCACTGTGTACCACATATGCAGTTCCTGAGGGCCTGAGGCGGAAGCCCCCCACTGTATCCACCACCCCTCAGGGCAGAGAAGGAACCCCGAGAAGGAGGAAGGACATCTCGCCTTGTGGAAGCCCAGGAATCGGAGAGACCAGTGTCCCTTGTGCTGGGGTGGCACAGCGGGGTCCCTCTCTCCCTCCCCACCCCCATGCTCCTGGTCAGCCTCCTCCTGCTCCAGCCCTGGTTGCCAGGGCCTGCCCTCCACATTCCCTATGGGGTGGGACACTGGTGAGCCACGTATTCACAGGGGACCCTCAGCGCAGAACGAGCACTGACTGTCAATGCATGTAATTGACATTCACGTCGTTCACTTGACCAGCCCATCCACTCCCTCCCGGATGCAGGGAGAACCTTCTGGAAGAGCCTACTTGACATGCCTGGTATCCTTGGCCTCCCGACCAGTCTGGACCACTGATCCCACATGGTAAAAAGGGACCCTCTCACAGGAAACTCTCAGACACTGCCAGATGCCCCATAGAGAAGGCGGTGGGCAGGTCCTGGCAGTCCTGACCCCACCCAGTCCTCCAAGGGAAGCATCCCCAGCTGTTTCTGCTCCTCGGCCTCCAACACGCCATGCCATCCCCAGAGGGCCTGGACTGCCCCTGCATGGTGAGCTCTGGGCCAGTGAGAGCCGGAGGCCCTGCTCTCGGCACCACCCTCCTCCAGGGGTGGAGACTGGGGCCTTGGCTCTGTGAGCTCCTGGGTCCGTTTCTGGATGCTTCTCAGCTCCCTCTGCTGTGCACACAGTCCGGTGCCCAGCATGTGCACGATGGCTCAAGTGGGGGGTGTAGGAGTCTGGGCTGGGAAGAGGGCCTGTCTTCCGCCTCTGGCTCTGGATGGAGAGGGCACCAAGCTCACAGTGTCACCCATGTCACTCGGCCGTTCACTTGTGCTGGGCAGAGGTTCTCTCGCCGCTCCTGTGTTGACTGTATGGTGTCTTCCGCTGCACAGAAATTTCAATTACAATCCAGTCAAATATATCACACTCTCTTCCTTTGGGCTCATGCCTAGGTCATGGTTGTGACCTTCCTACGTGTAGAAATTCTTACCTGCCTCTACGGTATGTCGCTTCTCCAGGGAAGACTGCATGCCAGCTCCGTGGAAACACTCGGTGCAAAAAAGGTGGCATCCCCGTGGCAGGGAGGCCTGGGGGCCATAGTGTTGGCATTGTGTGCCTTGCTCATGCCAGCTTTCTCAATCGCAGGATGGCAAAAGTGTTTTCCTGTATTTCCTCCAATCCTCTTGCATATGTCAATAAATACACGTGTGAGACCCACATGCACAAACACACACACACACCCCCCACCAAACCTTTGTTGAGCCGAGTAGGTGATGCTCTCTCAGGGGCACCAAGCTGGTGTCCTCCCCAGGGCTTTTGTGCCTGTGCGTGGCTCACTTTCCACGAGCTGTTGGAGCCCAGCTTCTCCCATGACAGCCCATGCGTCTGCCTCCCTCCCGGGCACACAGCAGGAACACAGCCCTGCCCTCCACATGGGAAAGCGTGCCGTGCGCAGGTGGGTGTTCAGTACTGGATGAATAACTCACACTAATGTACCCTGTTCAATGCACCAACTGTAAAACTGCTGGGGTCTCCTAACATTCCTTGGGACACACGTTAGAATTCACGGGCCATGAAGGGTGTCTGACAGTTTGCTTTTCTGTGCTCTTCTTTTTGTCCTCTTCAGCCACGGTCTTTGCCAATGCCCACTCTTTCAATACCAGCATGAAAGCCCCAGTGTTTTGTTTTGTTTTGAGACAGAGTCTCACACTGTCACCCAGGTTAGAGTGCAATGGTACAATCTTGGCTCACTGCAACCACCGTCTCCCAGGTTCAAGTGATTCTCGTGCCTCAGCCTCCCAAGTAGCTGGGATTACAGGTGCACATCACCACACCTGGCTAATTTTTTGCATTTTTAGTAGAGACAGGGTTTCACTACGTTGGCTGGCCAGACCCATCTTGAACTCCTGACCTCATGATCTGCCTGCCTCGGCCTTCCAAAGTGCTGTGATTACAGGTGTGAGCCACCACGCCCGGCCACTGAAGCTTTTTTAAAAGTCTGAGCAAACTGCACCAGTCCACAACCGTGAGCTTCACCCAATTCTCCTCCTTACTAACAAAGAAGCACCCGGGTGGCCCAGAAATAAAGAATTTAAGCAGGCATTCTCTAATGAGATTTTTTAAATTGCTACTCATAGGTAATATGACCTCCCTCAATGGCTCCCAAGTGGGCAAGAATGCCATCGCCTTGCATTGTGCTGTCTGCCAGGGCACAGCCCACGTCCAATCCAAAGGGGGAGAAATTTCTCCCTGTGGCTT